TACTCAAATAGGCCTTGGAATGGTCGTAAGCAGGGATGTCATGAAAGCGATTCTTTCCTGTGTTTTCAGTCCTCTTTTCAAACGTTGCCCGTCGATACGGTTCATTACTTTGTAAAGAGAATTTCAAAACTGAATTTGCTTTGCTCATTGTGGTGCACTTTTAGTTTAATTGATGCTCCTCGCACTGATTCTGTTTCAAGACTGACTCAAAAGTGCATGCTTAAGCATGTGCAGTAACCTAAAAAAAGTTCAAGTCGTTATTCCTGCTAAACTAAAAAAGATAACAGAAAAATTTGAATGCAGTATTTTAATTGGGAATATTAACATGTTTATTTAACAAAAGCAATTTTCTTAATCATAAAAACAAAACAATTATTTAATAAAAACAAAATGTACAGGTTTTTTTCATGACGCAGCTTATTTCGTGCAGTTCATTCAACTTAACTTATTATTTGTAATTTAAAGGCTAATATTTTGTATGTCCACTTTTCTGGCACAGGACAGCTTTGAGACGATTTTCCATGGAAGAAACTAACTTTTTAGTGGTTTCCACTGGAACTTTTGGCCATTCTTCCATAAGAACACTTTTCATGTCGTTTTGGTTCGAAATCTTCCTCTTCTTTAAAGCGATGTCCAATGAACTTCAGGCCCAGGGATCGGGGCACCGTGGAGCGGCTGCTGGACCTGGCGGGTCGCCTGAATCCCACGACCTGGATTTCTTCACATTTTAACCAAGGCAACAAAATTATTGGTATATGTAAAACAACAATGTTAGAGTGCAAATTTGATGTGGCCCAAAGACAGTGAGAAGTTGCCAAAACTCTGGCAAAGAAATACAGAAAAACTCCCCAGGGATGGTCTATTGATTTGGAAATCTATTAGCCCGAGGGGGGTGGGAACTATTTCCCTGCATGGGGACACACCTGTGCCCCTGATGCGGCGCTAACTTTTCCCATTACGATGGCCCTTTATGGGCCAACAAAATTGCCCCATTCACGGTCAATTCGGTCTTCATATAAAAGCTCTCATGTTCTGTCGAAAAAAATCAGAATTAGGTTTTGATGGTTTTATTAATTGGTTTTACATTATAGATAACATAATGACTATGTTAATCAAATGTTAATCACCATAAATTGTTGCGCTATTAACATTTATGCTCTTCGTATATGATTCAGAAATACAGCAATTATTCAATCATAGTATCACAGGCATTTATTTCAACTTTTTTGTGCGTTAACAGTATTTTAAGAATGAAGGAATGAATTTTTTGCAAACAACATAGTTTTAACGATTAATAATATACGTCGAAATAAATAAATATTGGCGAGAAATTGAAGTCATTTTCAGTCATTGGCGGCAATGCCCCTCAGTAAGTTACGCAGCTCAAACAATTAATTGGCTTGTCATCCTATTTTCGACAATTCGTCCCACGATTTTCCGAATTAATGAAACCTTTATATTTATTAACTTCGAAAAACAGCAAGTTTGAGTGGCGTGACAAACATGAGCAGGTGCGCCAAGAGATTATATCTACTTTGGTTAGCGATTCGGTACTTATCATCTATGATCCACAGTTTCCGGTTGAACTTCACACTGACGCTAGTGCAGATGGGTATGGTGCAATATTGATGCACAAGGTAAACGGTAAACCTGGAGTCATTGAGTACTAAAGCAAGTGCACCACAGGAGCAGAAAGAAGATACCACTCGTACGAGTTGGAGACGTTGGCTGTCTACAATGCAGTCAAACATTTCCGCCTTTATCTACATGGCCGCCCATTCGTGGTCGCCACAAGAAAGATTTGACACCGAGGGTCCATCGTTGGTGGGCTTACCTACAATCATTTGAGTTTGAGGTAGAGTATAGGAAGGGAAGTAGCATGGCACATGTAGATTTCCTCTCACGCAATCCATTACCTATTGTTAAGCAGACTACAAAAACCACAGAAGTGCGAATAGATCTAGCAAATATATCCGATGACTGGCTGCTTGCTGAACAGCATCGAGATTCCGAAATTTCCAAACTAGTATCAAAGCTTCAAAACAATGAACTAAAGATAGAAGATGCAAAAACGTATGAGTTGCGATCTGGTATGTTATACCGGAAAATACAAAGAAATGGAAGAAATCGATGTCTGCCGGTAATCCCACGAGCGTTTAAATGGTCCGTAATTAATCACGTGCATGAGACACTAATGCACTTGAGCTGGGAGAAAACTTTAGACAAGGTATACACACGGTATTGGTTTCCAAGTATGTCCAAATACGTACGAAAATTTGTAGACAATTGCATCACGTGCAAACTTTCCAAATCAACTTCGGGAAAGGCGCAGGTAGAACTCCATCCCTTACCAAAAGTCAGTGTACCTTGGCATGCAGTGCACATGGACATCAGTGGCAAGCTGAGTGGTAAGAATGACGTCAAAGAATATGTGATAGTGCAAATAGATGCCTTCACTAAATACGTTCATTTGCATCACTCCCTTGGCCTTGACACGAACAGCTGCATTGAGGAGTTAAAATCAACTATCTGTATGTTTGGGGTACCAAGTCGTATAATTGCCGACCAGGGCCGCAGTTTTGCAAGTAACGATTTTAGGCAGTTCTGTGCTACACAAAAAATAGACTTACACCTAATCGCAACCGGCGCCAGCCGTGCCAATGGACAGGTGAAGCGCGTAATGAGTACCATGAAGGCGATGTTGACAGCGGTAGAGACAAGTGAGCGATCCTGGCAAGAAGCCTTAAAGGAGGTTCCGTTGGCAATGAATTGCACGGCCAATAGAGTTACGAAGACAAGTCCATTAGAACTTTTAATTGTCCGTTGGTAGAAGAATTAGAAATAGATATCAACAATGTAAGATCGAATGCACTTCAGAATATAGAAAAGGCTGCCGAATATGAAAAGCAACGATTCGACAAAAATAAGGCTAAGATAATAAGATACAAGGTAGGCGACCATGTCTTGCTCAAGAGTAAAGAACGGCACCAAACAAAACTAGATCCGAAGTTTAAAGGACCCTTTGTGACTATAGAGAGTCTTGATGGTGACCGATATGTGCTAAAATCCTTAAAAAGTAAAAGGACATACAAGCAGTTGCGTGCCATGCCTGAGGAGGTGGACGTAAAAGAATACGAGAGATCGCCGGCTGAGGCACTCGTAGATACCCTAGACTCAGTGTAAAACATTTACAAGGCTATAGCCGCACCAGAGATACCTAAAAGGAACTGTTGACTTGAAGTTATCATTCAAAAGGAATATTAAAGTGGATAATATTCTTAAGGGTATGTCGATTCTGAAATGGAAATGGGCTGGAAATGAGACTGATAGGAGAAAACAAACTAATCTGCGTTAAGTATATTTCTACTAACGAAGCCACTACCAACAGCTAGATTCACTGCACTGAGAGATCAACTGGGGCTAACTGGATCTTCAGCCTGAACCTTTATATAGGGTTTTTCTTAATTGATAATTCACTTTAAAACCAAGACAAACGGATCTCTTGGTATATATATATATTTAACCATAATCAAACGCAAATCATTTCTAGTCTAACCATTACTGTTTATATAAGCGAATCTTGTTAATTTATGTTTTGATTGATCTGATTGGGTTTTACTAAGTTTCCCCAATTCTTTGCAGCAAATGCTGGATCAAAAAGAAAGAAAAAGACCCAAGAGAAGAAAAAAGCACACTTGTTATCTTTTGTTATTATATTTTGTTATTTCTTAATTTGTATCAGTGTAACTTTTGGGGTGGCGTGTTGAGAATACCAAAAGTCACACTTGTACGCATACACATTGTGTGTTTGTGGGAAGGGGATGAACAATGAAGATCTCAGAGAGAGGCAAGCCTACAGAATTAGGTTTTGATGCTTCTTATCAATTGGTTTTACCAAATACCAATATAATCTTTCCAAACATAAGCAAGCTCTCAACTTTGTGCGAGTTGACAGAGCGGAATTATTGTCGCCACCATAAATCAAGCTGCAAATTAGTATATTTGTCAAATACGATGATGTACAATTTGCCGTCGGTGGACCACAGCATCGTTAGTCGCTTAGGGTGGTCCCGCGCAGCTGTCGTAACTTAGTGTGTCTGGAATATGATGGTCCAGTATTCTCCCAACGTTGAATTAGGTTGATTACGATGGAAGGGTAACTGCCCTTCTTAACCTGCTGGCCTAGAGACTCAGACAGTATAAAAATGATAAGAATGATAACGGCGGATTGCCGGAGTAGATTCTATGAGCATAAGCTCTTTATTCTTTGAATATCAAATCAGAACTGAAACTTAAAGCTAACATAAATGAATCTGATAGCGGCCACTCCAATGGGCAGTGTTTTGTCGGCTATGCACGGGCTTCCGGCCAGACGCTATGTCAGCATTTTGGCCGGAGCGGGCTTTTGGACGATCGGACTTGCATATTGCAAAACCAACGTATGGCCGTTATGCATCTTAGATATTATATTGGTCTTTGGTTTTACATTATCGATAACATAATGACTGTTAATCAAATTGCACCGTAAATTGTTACACTATTAACATTTATGCTCTTTGTATAGGATTCAGAAATACAGCAATTATTCAATCATAGTATCAACTTTTTTGTGCGTTAACTGTATTATAAGAATGAAGGAATGGATTTTTTTTTGCAAACAACATAGTTTTATTGATCAATGATATTCATACGTCGAAATAAATAAATATTGGCGAAAGATTGAAGTCATTTTTATAAGAACTACATGGATTCTCAAATATAATTAGAAATCAACCGATAACTTTAATCTTCTGTAAGTTTATGAAAAAATATTCATAATATCTTGCGAGTAATGTTATCCTATGCAGAAAAGAAATATTATTGCAAGTAAGTGTGCATTGTGAATCGAATACAATAAAGTAGGAAATGTGAGATGCTGCCAAGATATAAAACTAATATTGATGCGTTCGCAGTCAAATCATCTGCTTGATACTTACTGCTGCCCAATAAAAAAAACAAAGTTTTCCGTGCCACAGTGATAATTTTATTGTATGAACAAAATAACAAGTAGAAAAATACGGATATGACATATTAAAATAAAATATTTTATAGACTTGATTTCTTCTTCTATATTTTAACAAATCGCGTGGTTACTTTGTACGGCGACGCAGCTAAAATCGTAAAGATTACCAGCTGATCTGATGTCATTTTCTCGAGCGTCTCGGTCAACATTGGACGTCTATCCAACAGGAAAGAAAGGAAAATGTTGACACAATCTTCATTTTGATTATCTCTAATTGAAGCCAAAAACTTGTTGTACACATTTCTCAACTCGGATTGCAGTAAATTGGATCCCATATCAACAAAATCAGAAAGCGTCGATTTGCATAATTGCAAAGAGCAAACTTGGCAAGTTCTTAAACACATCTTTTTATTCCTTTTACTTAGTTTATTTAATACACAGGGGCTGAATGAATTCGAATTATCGTTGATCGCAGTTGTTCGTTCTTCGTTGCAATTTCTTAGACACGAATTGTTGGTCCTTGGATGTACTGCTTCGTTTTCAACAGGGGAGAATGAATTGGAATTATCGTTGTTCGCAGTTGTTTGTTGTTCGTCGCAAGCTTGTAAGATAGCTTCTCGTGAGTTTGCGGTTACAGAGCTAACTTTCTTCAAAGCATCATCAATGTGTCGTAGAAATTCCCCCGTAGTCGTTTGGAGAAAATGAAAAGGTGGAACGGTGAAAATCGACTGCCTCATCGCTGTCAAGTATTCTTTAATGTCAGTCAAGAATGATAATTTGGAATTTTCATCAATTGATCGGGTATCTCTGGTAACGTTGCAAAATCTATCGATTCTTTCTCGAATAAATAAAAGATTGTTTGCTATAGTTTTCAAACTCAGTTGTGTTGGAAGTGGAACACTATGCTTCAATGTATCGTCTTCGAATTCAAATGTGCGGTTTTTGTAAAAGTTTTCGAGCGTTTCCCCGTAATCCCGAATAACGCTGGATATGGACTCCTCACCGTCCTTTTCTTTCACTGCTGTCGTGACACGCGTCTGATATAACGCAAACACCGTCAAAATAAAAATTGAGAACTTCATTGTGATAGCCTTCACTGGCTTGTAACTCACTCTTGTCCGAACGAGCGCAAAATTGTAACTGAATCACAACGCGACATCCCGTTCTATTATGTACATTCCATTTCATACACACATTATGAACATTCATATATGTACATGTATGTTCAAGCGCACTGGTTATCACCAAAGCCTAATATATAATTATTTTGGCCTTTGGCAAATAAATAAATATTATTTCATTCCTTAGAAACGTCAAATGCGATATTTATATATATATATATGTACATATATATGATCAAATCGCAAGTTGAACGGATCATACATATGTATACAAACTGAAAGTAGAGCAGCAGTGATTTTGTATTTCAAAGAAATGAGAATGGCTTATTACTTTGTGAAAAACCCGTGTAGTGGCTTATATTTTTCCGTGATTGAATAAATCATCCAGTGAGAACGATACCAGGAATAATCTACTATAAAAAATTAATTTCGTTTTTGCTTTATGTTTAATAGCTCTGGGATTCAAAAATATACTTTATTCGAATGAAAAACAATAAATTTTGTTCTTTCCAAGAACATATTTAAAGATAATACCAAAGACGAATATAATCTCTCTATCTACAAATCGAACCGCTCGTCCTCGAAAAGCGACGCTTACGTCGAGAGTGGCAATTCCACAGATCTCCATCTGCTAGGCAACGCTTAAAACATGCATCACGTCAACTCACTAAAGCTTTACAGCGAGAAGAAGCATATGACCACCGACGCTACATAGAGCAATTGTCAACATCTAGTACAAAACACTCACTATGGAGAGCTCACCCAACTCTAAGCTCACCGAAAGTAACTGTGATGCCTATTAGAAATCCCACAGGGAGCCAAATGAGTTTCGCCCAAACGAAATCGTTAACATCATCAAAAATCAGCTCAATCCGAAAAAATCCCCGGGCTGCGACCTCATAACTCCCAAAATGATCATAGAGCTCCCATATTGCGCCGTTTGCACTATCACCCAGCTTTTTAATGCCATCGCAAAACTTGTCCACTTTCCAGTGAGATGGAAAAAGTCGATTATAATAATGATAGCAAAGCCGGGAAAAGACCACACAATCCTCACGTCGTATAGACCTATAAGCCTACTTTAATGATTATCTAAACATACCTAAGAATTAAGGAAGGACTTCACATCAATTTGGGTTTCGTGAAAAGCACGGAACAATTGAGCAGGTCAACCGGATAACATCAGAAATTCGGAATGCGTTCGAAAAACGAGAGTACTGTACTGACATATTTTTAGATGTCTCTCAAGCATTTGATAGAGTGCTCCCCTACAACACCCACAAGCGTTTATAGTCTTACCTCTACGACAGAAAATGTGCTGTGAGATGCAACACTGCAAAAACTGACGATTTCACTATAGGAGCTGGAGTTCCACAAGGTACCGTGCTTGGGCCAACATTATATGTCTACACAACAGACATCCCAACAAGCACACGACTAACAACATCTACGTTTGCTGGTGATACAGCTATTATTAGCCGCATAAAATGCCCGAAGCTAGCAACTGCGCAGCTAGCTCTTAATCTGGTCGATGTTGAAAAGTGGCTTTCAGATTGGCGAATTAAAGTGAACGAACAAAAATGCAAGCACCTTACGTTCACCCTAAATAGGCAAAACTGCCCGCCGCTCATGTTAAACCATACCAAAGACCAATATAAACATATATTGGTCTTTGACCATACTCTACTCCCGCAAGCAAACGAAGTGACATATCTAGGAGTACACCTCGACAGAAGGCTCACATGGCGCCGGCATATTGAAACTAAAAAACACACCTAAAGCTAAAAGCCAGTAGCCTTCATTGGCTTATCAACGCTCGGTCTCCCCTTAGCCTTGAATATAAAGTCCTGCTGTATAACTCGGTACTAAAACCTATATGGATGTAAGGCTCTCAGTTATGGGGGAATGCCAGCAATAGCAATATTGACATAGTCCAACGAGCTCAGTCGAAGATCTTGAGAACAATCACCATGGTACGTTCGCAACGAAAACATACATCGAGACTTAAAGTAGGAGGAGTAATTTACCAAGCCATCGTTGCACCCTAACCACCTGGCGAGAGGTTTTACAAGGTTGATCAACCAATCACGTCTTCGTCGCAATGACTTACCCACCCAGCGACCGACTTGAAGGACGCGCAACCAGAATGCAGTCTTATTATACTGTTAGTTAAATTTTAATGTTAAGATTCGTAAACTTATTGTTACTCTCAAAATTAAGAGAAGATTCAATAAATAAATGAAAAGTTTGTAATAAAAAAAAAAAAGTTGAACGGAGCATATTGTACAAACTTTTTTTTGTCGTACATATTATTTTATTCCTCAGAAACGTCAAATGCTATATTTTTTTATATGTATATACAGTGGCTCACAGCTTATTTCAACCAGTGCTCAAGTAAAACTTTAAATCGCTGTATTTGAGAGATATTGGAACACTTTAAACGCAGATTTATAGCTCTGTATTTTAACTTTTATTTCATGAATTCCTAAATTTTTAAATATTTTTTTAATATTTATTTTGATTTTAAGACTCAAATAACAGGTAAAATGAATGCCACAGCTTATTTCAACCAGCCCTTAAAAGTATATATTTTTTAAAGATTAAGAACTAAAAATGATAAAATAATATTTTGTATGACCAGCCTTCGTGTAAACAATCATTTTAAGTCTTTTTGCGATTGATTCGACCAATTTTTAAGCCACTTGGGGACTCATTTTGGCCCGTTCTTCGAGTAATGCGTTTTTTAGGTCCGTTTGACGCTTTCGAATTTTTCTGTCCAATATAGCCCATCAATTATCAATAATATTATTATCTGGAGACCAGGCTGATGGTTTCATGATATGCGGGCAATTTTAAATGAGCCATATCGGCAGAGTTCCCGATGTGTGCTTGGGATAATTGTCCTGATAAAATCGGAATTTATCACGAATTCCCAGATTTTCTCCACTTTGCACCAAAATGGACTTCAATATGCTTAAATTAAGAGTTTTTTTCATTGTTGTGTCCACCAAATCCAAAATCCCGGCTCAAGCTGCCGACATACAGGCCCAAACCCACCACCAGGCTTGTCCATTGCCTTTAAATATTTTGTATGCAGCTCTATCTTTGGTTTTCGCCAAGCATAAGAAGCCCCATAAGATCCAAAAATATTAAATTTTGACTCGTCGGAAAGTATTACAGTGTTCCAGAAGCTGGAATCCTTATTCAAATGCTCCAAAGCGACTTAAAGCTTCACTTTTGATACTATGTGCATTTGAACCGCAAGCATGGTGGTGGGAGCGTCATGGTTTGGGCCTGTATGTCGGCATCGTGAGCCGGGATTTTGGATTTGGTGGACACAACAATGAAAAAACTCTTAATTTAAGCATATTGAAGTCCATTTTGGTGCAAAGTGGAGAAAATCTGGGAATTCGTGATAAATTCCGATTTTATCAGGACAATTATCCCAAGCACACATCGGGAACTCTGCCGATATGGCTCATTTAAAATTGCCCGCATATCATGAAACCATCAGCCTGGTCTCCAGATAATAATATTATTGATAATTGATGGGCTATATTGGACAGAAAAATTCGAAAGCGTCAAACGGACCTAAAAAACGCATTACTCGAAGAACGGGCCAAAATGAGTCCCCAAGTGGCTTAAAAATTGGTCGAATCAATCGCAAAAAGACTTAAAATGATTGTTTACACGAAGGCTGGTCATACAAAATATTATTTTATCATTTTTAGTTCTTAATCTTTAAAAAATATATACTTTTAAGGGCTGGTTGAAATAAGCTGTGGCATTCATTTTACCTGTTATTTGAGTCTTAAAATCAAAATAAATATTAAAAAAATATTTAAAAATTTAGGAATTCATGAAATAAAAGTTAAAATACAGAGCTATAAATCTGCGTTTAAAGTGTTCCAATATCTCTCTTAATTTGGCAAATACAGCGATTTAAAGTTTTACTTGAGCACTGGTTGAAATAAGCTGTGAGCCACTGTATTTGTACATACAGTGACTCCATCGCTTAATCGGACAAGTACCTTCTTATGATAAATGTGCGCTAAAAATATACTAAATGGGCTTAATTATTTTTTTTAATTTTTTTATTATAAATATACACTTTCACCTATCTAAAACAAAAGAAAAAACTCAACATTTTTGTTAAGAACCCAAATTTTTCAAACAAATACAAAATTTATATCGATATTTAGCGCTCAACGAATAATCAGACAATCCCAAAATTAACACAAAAAATCGTTTTTTTCTTGAAATTCGATGCAAACTTTAGGCTTTTTGAATTGCGTTTGGTTTATTATAGAGATTAGGAGCAGAAAACATAATTTTGCTATTATAAAGTAGAAATATGACTCCAAATGGAAAGCAATCCTCTGTAGAACTTCGGCAGTTAGTTGTTAAGGTACATTTTGAAGGAAAAACTGTAAGGAAATCTCCGAATTAGTTGGAAAAAGCAAATCTACGGTCCACGACATTATTAAGCGGTTCCGTGATAAATTTAGATTTGCCAATAAAAGCAGGGAAGGCCAAAAAGATCTTAAATGACCGAGAAGAGAGGTCGGATTTAAAAGAAATTAAACAAGATCCCTTCAAAACTGCTAAATAACTAAAGATTTCTTTACAAAACCGAATTGGTAAAGACGTGTGTCTCAATACTGTGCGTAATACTTTAAATAAATTCAATTTCCCCGGAAGATTTGTGAGGAAGAAGCCCTTTATTAGCCCCAAGAACAAATAAAATCGCATTAAATATGCAAAAGAATATTTGATGAAAACAGGGGATTTTTGGAAGACGGTAATATAGTAGTTATTGAGCTCAAAAAATATTTTTGTTGATTTTTTTATTTAAATAGAACCTTTAATTAATTAATAAAAATCAACAAAAATATTTTTTGAGCTCAATAACTACTATATTACCGTCTTCCAAAAATCCCCTGTTTTCATCAAATATTCTTTTGCATATTTAATGCGATTTTATTTGTTCTTGGGGCTAATAAAGGGCTTCTTCCTCACAAATCTTCCGGGAAAATCGAATTTATTTAAAGTATTACGCACAGTATTGAGACACACGTCTTTACCAATTCGGTTTTGTAAAGAAATCTTTAGTTATTTAGCAGTTTTGAAGGGATCTTGATTAATTTCTTTTAAAACCGACCTCTCTTCTCGGTCATTTAAGATTTTTTTTGGCCTTCCCTGCTTTTATTGGCAAATCTAAATTTATCACGGAACCGCTTAATAATGTCGTGGACCGTAGATTTGCTTTTTCCAACTAATTCGAAGATTTCCCTTACAGTCTTTCCTTCAAAATGTAGCTTAACAACTAACTGCCGAAGTTCTACAGAGGATTGCTTTCCATTTGGAGTCATTTTTGTACTTTATAATAGCAAATTTATGTTTTCTGCTTCTAATCTCTATTATAAACCAAACGCAATTCAAAAAGCCTAAAGTTTGCATCGAATTCCAGGAAAAAAAACGATTTTTTGTGTTAATTTTGGGATTGTCCGATTATTCGTTGAGCGCCAAATATCGATATAAATTTGTATTTGTTTGAAAACTTTGGGTTCTTAACAAAAATGTTGAGTTTTTCCTTTTGTTTTAGATAAGTGAAAGTGTATATTTATAATACAAAAATTTTAAAAAATTAATTAAGCCCATTTAGTATATTTTTAGAGCACATTTATCATAAGAAGGTACTTGTCCGATTAAGCGATGGAGTCACTGTACATATGTATATATTTGTACATACATATGTATATATATTATCAAATGGCAAGTTGAACGGAGCATACATATGTATGTATACAAACTGAAAATAGAGCAGCAGTGATTTTGATTTCCAAGAAATGATAATACTCCATCACTTCGTGGAAAACATTAACAGAGCTGTGTTGTGACTTTTATTTTTTGTGATGTTTTTCTACCGAAAATATTTTTTTTAATGGACGTTTCTTTGGAAAATCCCCGGAATCATTATCCGGAACTTGACTAGAGCGTATATGAAGCTGATACTGAGGCGATCGTGATCATAGATCAAAGAGCAAAAGATTATTTTTTAACTATTTATATGAGTATATAATATTGCATTGCGAGTCAACATCAACTTTGTGTTCGCAGCGAGAAATTATAAATCCCTATAAAAGCGGGTCTCGACTGGCATTATAGTTATCGTCAGTCAATTTGTTCGGACGAAGTTTGTGAAAATGAAGCAGTTTACTTTTCTGTGCGTTATTTTGTTACTATACAGTTTGGACGAAGAACAAATTTTGATGACGAAAATGAACAACTTGGTAGATATATACAACGAACAATTGGACAAGAAAGTGCAATGGAATGTTCTCAACGAAGCTGTTAAAAGCATTCAAGAACTATTCAAGGGTTATCAAGGCAGCGCCAAAGTTAATATGAAACAATTACTGGATGAAAACAAGCAATCTCACGAAGAATATTTGTTTGCTGTGGTTCCCTTATTCCAGTGGTGCGTAGCGGTCAAAAACGATTTACCGCATACTGTTTCAGTAATTCAAAGACCAAACTTATCGGAGAGCCTTCGATCGTACATAAAAAACAGGACCAAAGACTTACTTCTCAGAGGTGTTAATTATTCGCAAGACTCCATTAGTCACATAAAACGAGCTATACAACATATGTCGAAATTAGGGTTATTACTTAATGTAACAGAAATCCAATTCCATGAAGATTTTCAATCGAACGGGTTTTTTGGCATTGAACGCAGTGAACTGGTCAACAAAATAAGCAGCCTCAAAGCGAAATCAAGAACGATTGCTGCTGTAGTGGCAGCGATTGGTCTAGTAACCACGGTTATATTGGGCTTTGTCACAGGTCCCGTAGGCATCGCGATTGGCTTAGCAGCAGCTTTAGCAAAAGCTGGCATTCCACTTGGAGTTACTAATGGCTCTTCAATACCAAAGATAGAGCAACAACTAACAATAATTGACGAGTTTTACAATAAGCTGCAAGATGCTTTGATTCGTGCTAAGCAAGAATGCCGTAAGGTCGATGAGGCTTTAAAAACGGAGCTGAATGAAATCAATAAACTAGCTAATGACATTCAAACACCCCAAGTAAGTTTTTCGTGCATTTCGCGAAATGATGTGTTTAGAAAAATGATTCCATATAATTATACCCGTTACTCGTAGAGTAAAAGGGTATATTGTATTCGTGCAAAAGTATGTAACAGCTAGAAGGAAGCGTTTCCGACCCTATAAAGTATATATATTCTTGATCAGGATCACTAGCCGAGTCGATCTAGCCATGTCCGTCTGTCCGTCTGTCTGTCCGTATGAACGCTGAGATCTCGGAAACTATAAAAGCGAGAAGATTGGCATTTTGCATGTAGATTTTAGAAGTTCCTACGCATTGCAAGTTTGTTTCAAAATGGTGCCACGCCCCCTTTAACGCCCACAATCGCTTATATACGATTTTAAAAATTTAAATATTTCGGAAAAGTAAAAATGCAGTTTTATTGTGTTTATCAATACCTATCCAAATGTAGATCAAAGTTTCTATCTCCATTTCCCTCGCACTCCCTTTACCTGAGTAACGGGTATCTGATAGTCGGGGCACCCGACTATAGCGTTCTCTCTTGTTTTTATGTGTGGGCCTCAGTGTCACTTTGGTCTGCGAAAATTTAACAAGCTACTCAATACCAGACACAGCCAGATAGTAACGATTTAATAATTCAAAATATTTTTTTCATTTCACAGCCCGATGATATGATGATTCCGGAATTCAGTAGTTTGTTTGTCGACTCGTTGAATACGCTTTCTAATTCATGTAAGAGGTACGTCACATCACACCGATCAACGATATCTAGAAGACGACGGGATGCCGTTGCCAAGAAGCTATCAATTACACCAACCAACTATGACTTGGAACCAGGCATGGTTTTGAATGAAAATTACGGAGTCATGCACGAGATGGTATTCAAAGAATTCTTCAGCGATCCGCACATTTCGCATGCTATATAAAATAGCGTAATGATTTTGTTCTGCATAGAAATATCCGTAAAATTTGCAGTTTGATTGAATTTCGTGTTTCCAAACATGCAGAGAATACTGTTGAAAATTTTCAACTATTATTTGATACGCAAACATTTTTTCTTATATGTATGAACTTTGTAAACCAAATAAAGAGATTTCACTATTTTACGCCTGAGTTTCAAACTTTAACATGATGAATTATAATCGTATTTGTGTATTGTGCATCACACGAATTGTGTTCGTTTTTAAACCTTCTCTTGCATTATTTGCTTTTGATTATGTTATGTGCGTTGCTAAGAACAAAATACACGTATTTTCCGGCATTCTCACACAATGTTTTATTGAACAAGAAAGGAAAGCTAACTTCGGGCGCAGCCGAAGTTGATATACCCTTGCAGAATATTCTGTAAATAATATTCTCCAAAATTATTCATATGATGCATTCTTAATACTCATAAAAAATCCCAACTTCCTAACTTTAAAAACACCAAAGTTATGGCATTTTCAATCGTTCAGTTATATGGCAGGTATAGGATATAGTCGGCCGATCCCGGCTTATATAGTGCGTGCAAAGGAAAGAAGGTGTGTGCAAAGTTTCAATTCGATATCTTTAAACTGAGAGACTAGTTCGCGTAGAAACAGACAGACAAACCTCCTTGACCGCCAGAATGCGCTACTACTGCAAAGAAGGTTATGGTTCCCTACCGTGCGTTCATATTTAGGCAAGCATACCAAATTTCAGATGGGACAAATGCTCCGTCAGATTACACCGTGAAATATTGGTTTTGAGAGTTTTGTGGTGGCCGCAACTCCACTACCGATAAAGTCCGCAGCGGCAGCCCTTCCGATGCGGTTACAGAGGACAATGTCAAAAAAATACATGAAATGGTATTGGCTGATCGCAAAGTGAAAGTGCGCGAGTTAGCAGATGCCACAAAGATCAGTACTGAGCGCACACGCCATATTTTGAGCGAGATTCTGCATATGAAAAAGTTATGGTGCCGCGCATGCTCACTCCGGACCAAAAACTCGAACGCGAGAGCAGTTCGAAAGAGTGTTTGGACTTACTGATGCGGAATCCGGCGGGCTTTTGGCGTCGATTGGTAACTGTTGATGAAAGCTGGATCCACTATTACACACCAGAGAACAGAATGAGTGCCCGACAATGGACCAAAGCCGGCAAGAGTCCTCCGAAGCGGCCGAGGGAAAGGTTATGGCGTGAATTTTTTGGAATTGTCATGGCATACTCTTCGTGGACTACCTCGAAAAAGGAAAAAGCATTAACAGCGAGTATTACTGTGCATTGAAGGCCGAAATCGCTGCAAAACGGCTTCGCATGAAGCGAAACAAAATTTTGTTTGTGCAAGACAATGCACAAGAGCGTAGCAACCACGGCAAAAATAGGTGACTTAGGGCTCCAATTGCTTGGGCATCCACCTTATTCACCCGATTTGCCTCCCTCGGACTATTATCGCTTCTTCACGGACCTGAAAAGATATCTCAGTAATAAAAAATTCAGGTCACGGTTACTTTTTACTCCATCTAGTATACAGACCCTAGGCATAGCCTATCCAATGGACAAGTTGAAAGAGTTTCAACCTTAACAGAAATAGGTCGTTGTATTAAAGACGAGTACCGCCTCCTAGATTATTCTGAAATTATTATAAGAGCAGCTTACACTCAAAGCAAAATCAACCCTAAATTTTAGAAATTCGCCTTAAAACTTTATTTTTTTAAATCGAAGAAAAGATTTCTATTTTCAAGGAATTTTTTTCTCAAAACAAGAAAACTTTTCTTGGATCAAGAAAGTGTTTTTCAAATGTAGAAATTGTCGGCATAAACTAAACTCACCTTAAATCCAAGAAAGAATTTCTATAATTTAGTAAAAATGGTACTTGTTTTTAGAATTTTTTTCTTCAAAATAGAAATTCTGCCCTTAAAAATTATTTACCCTAAAAAATATAAAAATGTTCTCAAATTAACCTTAAAAATTCGATAACCCTAAAAAATAGAAACGCTTAAAAGTGTGAATTCTGATTTAGAATGGGGCATTGCACAAAATTTAAAAATATACAATTTTTTTCAAATTAACCTTAAAAATTCGAAAACTATAAAAAATAGAAACGCTTACAAGTGTGAATTCTGACTTAGAATGGGACATTGCACAAAATTTAAACATTATTAAAATCCTCATGTCCCAACTATTACCATCTATAAAATAAAAGGAGTATTAACGAATTAGGAACAGTATGGAAGTAGCTATCAGGTACACCTGACCATGACGACTTAATAAGAATTGAAAATAAAATTAACGAACTTACAGAAAACAATAACAAAAACTTACAATAAAATCACGAATATTTCAGGAAGTACAATTAATCACCTAAACCCTTGACTCAATCATTTTTAAACAAGAAAGGAAAGCTAACTTCGGGCGGAGCCGAAGTTGAAATACCCTTGCAGAATATTCTGTAAATTATATTCTCCAAAATTATTCATATGATGCATTCATATGATGCATTCTTAAAAATCCCAACTTCCTAACTTTAAAAACACCAAAGTTATGGCATTTCCAATCGTTCAGTTATATGGCAGCTATAGAATATAGTCGGTCGATCCTTATAAAATTTTGTAGATCGGATTGATTGGCCAAACATAAAGAAAATACCAGCTTCCTAACTTAACAAACACCAAAGTTATGGCATTTCCGATCAATCAGTTATATGGCGGCTATAGGATATAATCGGCCGATCGTTATAGGATGTAGTCGGCCGATCCCGGCCTTTCCGACTTATATTGTGCTGTAACGATTCGTTCGGCTACGGTGTTAACAAAAAAGGTATAAAGGATGCACGCTAGTGTCCAGCTGATCCTTGTCGGCTATATGGGGTGGTGATCTTGTCCTCAACCTTTTAGCCTTCAGTCATTTCTAGAATATCAAATAAGAATAATCGCCCACCACTAAACAAACATCAGCTCGACAGAAACTCCCCCGAATTCCCAAAGACCCTCTGATGATATTGAGGAATCTTTGATGCCCTCCCTGCCTTGGCCATTCCCACCTAATTTAGTCATATTTTGTTTGAACGGCCCTTTGGGTCGCCAACGGCCTTCACCGGGAGATCATCCTAATTAGAGGCAATTTCAAAAAGTTCTTAAAACATAAAATATATGTATTTACACACTACAGTAAATTCTTACAATTAACAGACATTATTAAAATAATAAAATATATAAATAAATGAATCAAAATGCATACAAATGCATACAAATACAAAATCACGTAAAATATTTAAATAAAAAGAGTTCCTAAATCAACTCCAGAGAATCACAAAAAAATATACGCGAATATTGAGCGGCCGAAATTTACATATATGCAAATGCAATTAGTGAGTGACTTTACACTGCTGTTTCTTTTTTTTTTTTTACAAAAATCAAATAAATCCGCTCCAAAGTATTTCGCGAAGGGCATTGACCTTGAATCCCTACTCCCGATCATTCGTATTGCTGGCCGTGGCCGTGAAATTCTATTTCTTTTGGTTCTTGCATTTCCTTTTTCTTCTTTTTTACATTCGACTAATATGGGCCAGTGGGGCAACGTTTGGTCATTAGTGGATTTTGCATTAGATTATCATTTCCGAGAAATTTTGTATAATAGTGAAATATCACTCACCACCGTGTTGGATGTCCATCGACGAAAGCGCTTCCGTGAGGTTTCCTAAAAAAAACAAATCACCAACACCACCACTGTGCAAACATTTTTTCTTTTACATTTCATTTCAACAAAATTTGCACGGCACCAGCGGAATAGAAATTAAATTACTCTTTTTTCATTTATTCACGGGGTTAGGGTTTTATCAAAGACCAATATAAACAATTATATTGGTCTTTGGTTTTATCCTCCCTCTCACGCGTTTTAGTAAATTTTTGATGATTCTCCGCTCTTTCCTTTTTCGTCTTCTTGCTTCTTTTTTATATAATCGCTTTTGTACCACCTCACTAACACTTACACTAATTCTTAAACTTGTATTTACATTGCTTGCATTTTTGCTTATTTTATAATAAATTCTCCTCCGTTTCCGCTCGCGATTTCTTATTTCTTTTTCTTCACTTTACATTTAAATATATTTAATTATTTATGTAGGACGATCGCACGCAGGTCTACTGAATCACGGAGTACCACGGGAACTGCTCGAATGGTTTTCTTGTTTCACTCAGCCATATTCCCGCTTGGAGAGTCGGGAGATTGGAGAGCACAATGGGAATGAGTGTTATTCCAGCCGAAATCACCTTCTAATTGGAGTCGAGTATTTTGATCTCGAGCCTTTTGGTGTCTTTGGTTTACTTTGGCTTTTCTTCAACCCGCCCTCAACTCTGGCTATATCTACGCACGAATTACAACTATGTACAAATATTGAAATAAGGTGCAATAAAAAGGCATACAAAATCTAAGGCCCCCTTGAGTTGGATGCCGAGGAAATTTCCCACTCGTCGCCGTCCTCCTTATGTCTTTTTTTCTCTTCGGGAACTTTGATGGCTTTTCTAATCTGGAATTTTTCCAACTGCTGCCGCGAGTTGTCCGGGCCAGGCATTAAGCGTCAAAGCTAATTAAAATGATAAAATTGGATTGCTTGCCGTTAGTTGATCCTTAACATTTTCTGGCTTACCCTTGGAATCGGCTTTAGGGTCGGTCGATTTTTGTTTAATTATTTGGTTTCTTTTTATTTTTTTTTTGTTGCTGCTCCCACTGAAACACATTATTCTTCATTTTTTTCCGCTCAGGCTTCACAAGTTTTTTTTTTTTTAAACACTTAGTAGACACAACGTTACTCTATCCCTGCCGAAAATCGAAAGAAAAATTGTGGATGCCGGAACTTCGCCATTTTTTCTGACCTGACAAGTGCCTCTGTTGCCTCTTACTCCGAAACCTTTACCCCCAGAATTCTTCTTCTATCCCAGCCGGTAGTACCCAAGCCGACAACTAGATGGCGGCACAATAATCTCCCACACTGCAAAGCAACTTCTCTGCCACAAGCGTTACACGGCGTGCAAAGGAAAGAAGGGTGTGTGCAAAGTTTCAATTCGATAAAACTAAGAGACTAAAAAGTACGGGGAACGAAATACAGTGACTCCATCGCTTAATCGGACAAGTACCTTCTTATGATAAA